TTGGAAGTTTGGCAAAATAATATCCCAGACAGAGCTATAAGCCATGAATCTACTAAGGTGAAAATAATCTTACTTTCAAGAAAGAGTCTACACCTGAAATGTTGTGAATGAGATGGAGAGAATTGTGAGATAAATGTAGAGAGATGGAGAGGACCTAGAATATATGAGAATTACGTAAGAACAGGGAATTAATGTTTTATGTTAACTGTTATTGGAATTCATCTCAGAAATCAATATACGATTAACAATGACTGATGTGAAAGTATAGGATTCTCAGGCACATAACTGTGAGCTAGGAGACCAGGGAGAGACAGTTGCATTCTCCTGGTAAAAATGGTGGTGACTTAGAAACTAATGAATGAAGTAGATAGATACACATTCGCAAGGTAGAACCATTTGGAGAGAAGTCCTGTTGGATCTGACTTCGGCTAGTTGCTTGATCTTGGCTTTATTAATGTCTTTCTGAGACTCGCTTTCACTCCATCAAATTTATCCTTCTCAGGAGAGAAAGAATTGTGGGGTTGGGGGGAGGGGGTGAAAATGCACACAACTGTGGTGTAAAATACCAGAATGACAAGGGCACTCAAACTAAAATCATCATTATCAAATTAAAATCATCATTATTCTACTTTGTATGATTACCTCTTTGATCCTCTATCTTATCCACAATAAACTAGGCTGAAAGCACCTCCCTTTTAGACTTTGTGTAAGCATGAGAACAGTTTGAAAATGTGAAAGCCTGGGCTGGTCACTTAACTCACTTGGTTGGAGCACAGTGTTGCAAGACCAAGATCTGACCTTGAAGACAGACTTTGAAATAACACAAGCAGACAAAAGAAAAGAAAAAAGTATTTTTACCAGCCAGACACCAAAAAAATCAAAAAAACGTGAAAGCACTCCCTCCTCACAACACACATAGATACTAGAGTAGAGAAAGTGCTGAAGACATGGTGTAAAACTGGTCCTCCTCCATTCCCCTCACCCCTACTGTAAATCACATATGCAGATACAGACAGATCCCTGGGAGGCGAACACCAGTATTCTACTGAGTGAGTTCAGATCTTGAACACAGTTGCATTCTCCTGGTAAAAATGGTGGTGACTTAGAAACTAATGAATGAAGTAGATAGATACACATTCGCAAGGTAGAACCATTTGGAGAGAAGTCCTGTTGGATCTGACTTTTGCTAGTTGCTTGATCTTGGCTTTATTAATTTCCTTCTGAGACTCACTTTCACTACATCAAATTTATTCTTCCCAGGAGAGAAAAAAATGTGGGGTTGGGGGAAGGGGATGAAAATGCACACAACTGTGGTGTAAAATACCAGAATGACAAGGGCACTCAAACTAAAATCATCATTATCCTACTTTGTAGGATTACCTCTTTGATCCTCTATCTTATCCACAATAAATCAGGCTAAAAGCACCTCCCTTTTAGACTTTGTGTAAGCATGAGAACAGTTTGAAAATGTGAAAGCCTGGGCTGGTCACTTAACTCACTTGGTTGGAGCACAGTGTTGCAAGACCAAGATCTGACCTTGAAGACAGACTTTGAAATAACACAAGCAGACAAAAGAAAAGAAAAAAGTATTTTTACCAGCCAGACACCAAAAAAATCAAAAAAACGTGAAAGCACTCCCTCCTCACAACACACATAGATACTAGAGTAGAGAAAGTGCTGAAGACATGGTGTAAAACTGGTCCTCCTCCATTCCCCTCACCCCTACTGTAAATCACATATGCAGATACAGACAGATCCCTGGGAGGCGAACACCAGTATTCTATTGAGCGAGTTCGGATCTTGAACTCAGAGACCAGACACAGCACTATCTGCTGGTCGACTTTCCTCCTCATTCACAGAAGGACAAGTAGTGTTGGGGCCAGGCAACAACAACATATGTTCAGCAATAGCTGATGCAGGGGATGGTCTTTTCCCTGTGCCTCCCAGAAAAAGCATAAACCGAACAGGTGCCACATGAGACAACAAAAAGGAACACAGCACATTCTGCAGCCCTCAGTTCACATGCCTCGTCATCATTTCCTGGGTATAGGACACAGACAACTCCATTTCACTTCTTTTGATCTTGATTACACTTTTTTCCTTTTATCAGAGAAATTAATTTTTTTGATTCCAGGGTGCTGTGGATGTCGAGATTGTGAAGCAGATTTTCTCTGCGCTGGTGTCAATCCCAGGGGAAGTCTCTAAATGATTCACACACTACACCTTTGGCTGTGCTGATTTCTCTTAGCTGCCAGAGTCTAGTGAGAGAGAACACTCACACAATAAGTTACATGAAGCAGGTTTACTATTCACAAATAACAAGCAAGAGAGAACAGAAGCTTAGGGATGAGAACGTCACCCACGGCTCAGGAAAGCTCCCCAGGAAGGATGGAGTCTCCCCACTTGCTCTGCAGCTGAGGGAACCCATAAAGCAGCCTGCCCTGGGTTTTATACCCTGGAGAGACAGAAATCACTGGGCTAAAGAATTGCAAAACATCCTGTTCTAGGAAGGACAGGAACAGAACTGGGGTACTCCACACAGTTCCTCTTTATCTCAAGATGTTGTGTTCCCAGCACGTCCTGCAGTTACTATTAGAACTACAAGTGAGAAAGAGGGGACAGCTGTGCCACTTGCCATCCAGGCACTTGTCCTAAAGAGACATTGTATGCAATTATCTGGCGATCGGTAAGTGGGAGGCAATCCACAACGGGGAGCTGCTATGACTTGCTTCTTATTGGATTAATATCTTCCTTCAGATAACTCCAGCTCCCTGCATGTTCTGATTGGACCCTCGGTGGTCACCATCCTCCTTGCCATCCTCCTTTTCTTCCTCATTCGTCGCTGTTGTCCTGCCAAAAAGAGTAAGTCTCAGGAAGAGGAGTCCAGTGCCATCTGGGCATATGGGGTCAGGATGGGAGTTAGCTGGTGTGTGTTGTCCATTTGCAGGAGATCCCGGGCCCAAGGCAGGAGCCACAGAGTTAGGGCTTCCTAGAGGTAACACCAGAGTCCCTGCCCCTTCCCTCAGCTCACAGACCATTGACTAATTCTCCACTGTATACTCGCAACCAGTGCAGCCTCTGATATCAAAAGGTTCTATGAAAGGGAGAAAGGAGGAAAGAGAATCAATGGGATGGAAGTTCAAATGATTAATGGGCTGGGTTCTTATACTTAGACAAATGGAATATGTGACTCTGCTGTTGGGCAGCTGAGTAATCTCAACCACGCACCACATCTCAAGTGTTTGTATCTGTATATGAAATAAGAATCCCAATGTTCCTTCCTAGGTGTTTTAATGATTTCTATTTCCTATAGATGCTGCTATGGTGGGCCAAGAACAGTGAATAGGGAGAACAGTGAAGGTAGGTCCTCCACAGCCCACCCTCTTCAATAAAGTTATTCCTGATGAGTCTCCAGCAGTGTATGCACATAACCTCACTCAACATTTCCCTTTATCCAGGACCCTAAAGGAGAAGACCCACAGGAGGTGATATGTGCACAGTTGGATCATTGGATTTTAACACGCAAAAAAATCACTCCCACTTCCCAGAGGCCCAAGGAACCTTCAACAGATACTAGTGTGTATGTGGAACTCGCAAAATCCTGAACCCAAATCAAGTGTCATCTCCTATCCCATGAGAACACATAGAAAGACCTCGAGAAGGTCTTCCATGCACACCATAGATCCTTTCCAAACCCAGCTTGACAGCTGCAATGCAACAACAGCTAGAATCTGACGAAGTTAAGTCTTCATCTTCAGGGTCATCCCTCTTATCAAAACATTAGTCTAAACATGAATCCTTGCTTACAAGTTTCTATCGCCCCCATTGCCTGCTGGAGAGAAAACAAACTCCTTTGCTTAGCCTCCAATTTTCTATTTCACTTGACCCCTGCCAACTCTGCAACCTCACTGGCTGTACTTTCTTGACTTGCTTGAAGCGACAACCTGCTATTCCATCTCCCCTGAAAGCTATTTTTCAGCTTTCTGTCATCAGGAACGTTTCTGTATATTTTGAAGATCTCAATGGAGTTTCTTCCGTTTTGAAAAAAACATTTTCTGACCTCATGGTTTAGGTAAGGTGCCTCTTTGTTTGCCTACAGTTTCACATGCTACCATGACTATGTACTTATTACCCTACATGTTCTCCACTCGGTTCTCATCCCTGGACTGGGAGTTTCTGGGAGCAGGGCAGAGTCTGGTTTGTCTCTGGGACCCAAGTTCGCATCCAAGGAACTAGCACATAGGTTTCACCGATCACTCATCAAATGAACAAGTGAGAATTCCTACTCTCTGCAGACCAATGAAAAGCTTGTGCATCCTACAGGGGACATTTATAGGGTCACTGTCCTTGTTATTCTCATCTTCACAAGATCATGTATGAAACAATCATGTTATATGTCATAAATACGTACAATTTTTATTCGTCAATTTAAAAAGATTAATTAAAATTAATAAAAATAATAAAATAAAAATTTTGTATAGTGTGAGAAAGGTTTTGGATTTCCTTTTTGGCTACCTTAACCTTTGGTCTGATGTCATTCATTGAGAAAACATTTTATTCCATCTTAAACCACACTGCAGCCTTTGTCAAACATAACATGTCTGAATATACAAATGGAGGTATTTTTGGACTCTGTTTTCTATTCAGTTGCTTATTAAGTCTAGTCTCATGGTGTTGTCACACTTTGTGTAGCCTTACAACACCTCTTAAAATCTGGTAGCATGAGCACTCTGATTTGTGGATTTTTTCTTTCACAGCATTATAATTATTATAGGTTGTTTGCATTTCCATTCAAATTTTATAATCAGGCTGCTAATTTCCACCCAAAAAAGAATCTTGTAATTTGATTGTGATTGTATTAAATGTACAGATCAGCTCTTTCTTGTACAAATATAATGCAATCTACATACAACATCTTAAATTTGCTAGTAGCCAAATTAAAAAGTTAAAAAGAAACAGGTGGAAATAATGTAAGTAATTTATTTTATCTAACCAAATATATCTAAAATATTATCATTTCAACATGTAGTTACATGTAATCTCAAAAAAGAACGGATCTGTATCTAGGTGGGCAAATATTTTTCTTTATAATATCTCATCCTCATAGTTCAACTCACCACAGACAACTGGCCCGTAAGGCTCAGGATAAGAAGACACAGTAGGAATGGGCAGATCTATCTGGATGATTACAGAAGGTCAAAAGAGTACAAGAAATTAAGACACCTGAGTTTAAGAACCTAAAAAGAATTACAGGTCCAGCCATTTTTTGCATGCAGAGATGCATCAATGTTAGCACTCTATTGAAAAACAATGAAGGAGATAGTTTCATGTGCAGCAAGGACAGCTGCACCCTTTGAGCACCCATTCAGTGAAGTGTGTTTTACATATATTTTCTTGCTGAATCTTTATAGAAAACATATTAGATGGCAATATGGATGAGGCTAGAAGTAATTATGTTAAGTAAAATAAGTCAGGCACAGAAAGATAAATACTACATGTTCACTCATATATGGCAGCTGAAGAAAGTGAGCTCGTAGAAGTACAAAGCAGAATTGAGGTTACTAGAGGCTGGGATAGGAAGGGGAGGATAAGAAGAGGCTGATTAATGTATACAGAATTACAGATAGATAGGAAGAATAAGTTCTAGTATTCAATAATAGTGCTAGGTGTCTATAATTAGCAATAATTTATTGTATATTTTCAAATAACTGGAAGAGAGGAGTTCAAACAGTCTCATCACAAGAAAATAAGTATTTACATTGGTAAAGGAAACAAGCGGACTTAGTAACAGGTGCTATGCTAACTTGCTTGTCTGATCATCACACAGTGTATACATGTATTGAAACATTATTCTGTATGCACTAATTATGTACAATTATTACATGTCAATTAAATAAAATAATATAAGGAGAGAGCTCCCGGGCCCACAGACCCTATGCCAGCCACACCTGAACCAGTAGGCACTGCACTGCAGGACCCACAGCCCAGGTGAGCCACCACCACCAGAGAGTCCTGAGAGCCACTGTGCCCAGAGGCCGCAAAGTAGCCATGCTGGAGCAGGTAGGTGCTGCACCGTGGGACCCCCAGCCCAGATGAGTCCCTGCTGCCCAAAGATCACACAGCCACCTGCCCACAGACCCTGAGGTAGCCAGGCCAAATTTTTTATAATATCTCATCCTCATAGAGCAATTTACCACAGACAACTGGCCCTAAGGCTCAGGATAAGAAGATACAGTAGGAATGGGTAGACCCATGACCTGGATGATTACAGAAGGCCAAAAGGGTACTCTTACATTAAAACACCTGAGTTTAAGAACCTAACAAGAATTACAGGTCCAGCCATTTTTTGCATGCAGAGATGCATCAATGTTAGCACTCTATTGAAAAACAATGAAGGAGATAGTTTCATGTGCAGCAAAGACAGCTGTACCCTTTGAGCACCCATTCAGTGAAGTGTGTTTTACATATATTTTCTTGCTGAATCTTTATAGAAAACATATTAGATGGCAATATGGATGAGGCTAGAAGTAATTATGTTAAGTAAAATAAGTCAGGCACAGAAAGATAAATACTACATGTTCACTCATATATGGCAGCTGAAGAAAGTGAGCTCGTAGAAGTACAAAGCAGAATTGAGGTTACTAGAGGCTGGGATAGGAAGGGGAGGATAAGAAGAGGCTGATTAATGTATACAGAATTACAGATAGATAGGAAGAATAAGTTCTAGTATTCAATAATAGTGCTAGGTGTCTATAATTAGCAATAATTTATTGTATATTTTCAAATAACTGGAAGAGAGGAGTTCAAACAGTCTCATCACAAGAAAATAAGTATTTACATTGGTAGCTATGCTAACTTGCTTGTCTGATCATCACACAGTGTATACATGTATTGAAACATTATTCTGTATGCACTAATTATGTACAATTATTACATGTCAATTAAATAAAATAATATAAGGAGAGAGCTCCCGGGCCCACAGACCCTATGCCAGCCACACCTGAACCAGTAGGCACTGCACTGCAGGACCCACAGCCCAGGTGAGCCACCACCACCAGAGAGTCCTGAGAGCCACTGTGCCCAGAGGCCGCAAAGTAGCCATGCTGGAGCAGGTAGGTGCTGCACCGTGGGACCCCCAGCCCAGATGAGTCCCTGCTGCCCAAAGATCACACAGCCACCTGCCCACAGACCCTGAGGTAGCCAGGCCAAATTTGCAGTCCCTGCAGGATCCAGGCCAGACACCAGGGTGGATCGAAGGGACTGTGACACCCCCTGCCACAGTGACTAAACACCAATGGAAAGATACCAGAAATATGGAAAAGCCAAGAAAGTATGACACCACCAAAGGAATATAATAACTCTCAAGTACTAGATCCTATACAACAGAAAGTCCTTGAAATGACTGATAAGGAATTTCAAGCAACAATTCTAAGGAATCTAAATGATATACAAGCAAACTCAGATAGACAACACAATTAAATGAGAAAAGGTATACAGAACCTGAAAGAAAAAATGTACAAAGAAATCAATGCCCTGAAAAAGTATGTAGCAGAACTTGTGGAGCTGAAGGATTCATTCCATGAAGTAAAAAACACAACGGAGAGTTTAATAAGCAGGCTAGAACAAGCAGAAGACAGAATTTCCTACCTTGAAGATGGTCTGTTTAAAATAACACAGGCAAATAAAAAAGAAAAAGTATTTAAGAAATGGAAGCAAACTTAAGACAGGTAACAGACAACCTTAAGCACTCAAATATCTGAATCATGGGTATTCCAGAAGGGGAAGAAAAAGGAAAGGGCATTGAAAACATGTTCAATGAAATAATAGTAGAAAACTTCCCAGGTACAGGGAAAGACACAGATCTTCATATTTAGGAGCCTCAAAGATCCCCAAACATATTCAACCAAAAAAGGCCCTCTCCAAGACATGTTACAGTCAAATTGGCCAAACCCAAAAACAAAGAGTGAATCTTAAAGGCTGCAAGAGGGAAAGCATCAAGTCACCTGAAAGGGAACCCCAGTCGGACTAACATCAGACCTTTCACTGGAAACCCTAAAAGCCAAAAAGAATGGGATTATATACTCAAAATACTAAAAGACAAAAATTGCTGGCCGAGAATACTTTACCCAGCAAGGCTATCCATCTGAACTGAAGGACAAATAGTATATTTATCAGAAACAAAATCAGCAGGAGTTCACTACCACACCACCAGCCTTACAAGAAATTCTCAAGGGAATACTGGGTTTGGCACCTGAAAAACAACCATCACTGCCTTGAATCCTCAAGAAAGAACAAATCCCACTGGTAAAATAAAAATGCTAACAATAAAGAGAAAAAAAGTTTATCTACCATCCCAAAAAACCAACAAACACTGAAGACAAACAGGAAATCAGAAAGATAGGAACAAAAGATACTAAAGACATCCAAACAAAAATCAATAAAATGCCAGGACCAAATCCACACATTTCAATAATAACTCAATGTAAAAGGGTTAAATTCCCTAATCAAAGGACACAGACTGACTGACTGGACTCAACAGTATGCTGCCTTCAAGAGACTCACCTCACCTGTAAAGACACACATAGACTAAGAGTGAAAGGATGGAAAAAGATTTACCATAAAAATAGAAATGAAAAATGAGCTGGAGTAGCTATTCTATCAGATAAAATAGACTTTAAACCAAACACCATAAAAAGAGCCAATGAAGCCCACTATATAATAATATAACGGTCTATCCATCAAGAAGACAATAATCATAAATGTATACACACCAAACATCAGAGCAGCCATATTTATAAAGCAAGCACTATTACACCTAAAGAATGAGATAGTCGCCAATACCATAGTAGCAGGGGACCTAAACACCCCACTCTCAACATTGGACAGATCATCTAGGCAAAATATCAACAGAGAAACACAAGATCTAAACAACACTCTAGACCAACTGGATTTGGCAGACATCTACAGAACATTCCATCTAACAACCTCAGAATATTCATTCTGCTCATCAGCACATGGAGCATTCACCAGGATAGACCACAAGTTAGGTCACAAATCAAGTCTAAACAAATTCAAAAAACTGGAATTATTTCATGTATTTTTTCAGATCACAATCAATTAAAATAAGAAATAAATAACAAACAAAACTATAAAAACTATAAAAACACATGGAAATTAAACAACATTCTACTTAATGGCATATAGGTCCAAGAAGAAATTAAATAGAAAATCAAAAAATTAACTGAAACTTATGAAAATAATGATACATCATGCAAAAATCTGTGGGATACTGCAAAAGCGGTACTAAGGGTAAAATTTATCACATTAAATGTTTACTTCACAAAAATGGAAAGATGGCAAGTAAAAAACCTAACATTTTTCACGTTAAAGAACTATAAAAAGAAAAACAATGCAAACCCGAAGTTAGCAGATGGAAAGAAAGAATTAAGATCAGACCACAACTAAATGAAATACAAACCAAAAAACGATACAAAAAAATGAATGAAACAAAAAGTTGGTTTTTCTGAAAAGACAAAATTGGCAAACCATTAGCAAGGCTAACTAAAAAAAGATGGAAGACCCAAATAACAAATAATAGAAATAAAAAAGGTGATAGTACTACTGATACCTCAGAAATACAAGGAATCATTAGAGATTACTCTAAACAACTAGATGCCAACAAATTTGAAAATCTGGAGGAAAGGGATAAATTTCTGGACACACACAAACTACCAACACTGAGCCAAGAAGATATAGAAAATCTGGACAGACCAATAACAATAAAAGAGATTCAAGGTGTAATTAGAAGTCTCCCAACAAAGAAAAGCCCAGGACCCAATGGGTTCACTGTAGAATTCTATCAAACCTTCAAAGAGGAATTGATATCAATTCTATATAACTATTCCAAAAGATTGAAACAGAGGCCATTCTCCCAAACTCATTCTAAGAAGCAAACATCACCTTCATACCAAAACCAGGCAAAGATACTACAAAAAAAAGAAAACTAGAGGCCAATATCTTTGATGAATATAGATGCAAAAATCCTCAATAAAACACTAGCTAACAGAATGCAGCAGCACATATACAAAAATATACACCATGATCAAGTGGCATTCATCTCAGGGATGCAAGATTGGTTCAACATATGCAAAATCAATAAATGTGATGCACCACATCATAAAATTCAAAGACAAAAACCATATGATCATGTCTATACATGCTGAAAAAGCATTTGACAAAATTCAACATTCATTCATGAAAAAGACCCTCTATAAGTTACGTATAGATGGAAAGTATCTCAACATAACTAAAGCCATATATGATAAACCCACTGCCAATATCATCCTGAATGGGGAAAAGCTGAAAGCTTTTCCTTTAAGAACAGCAACTAGACAAGGATGCCCACTCTCATCACTCCTATTCAACGTAGTGTTGTAAGTACTAGCCAGAGCAATCAGAGAAGAGAAGGAAATAAAAGGCATCCAGATT